AACTCCTGGGCTCAAGCGATCCTCCTGCCTCAGCCTTCTGAGTCGCTGGGACTACAGGTGTGTGCCACCATGCCCGCCTTTTTTCTTGTTTTAATTCCTTTTGTTTCTTTTTTCTTTTGTGTTTATTTCTATTGTATCGATTTTCCCCCCTGCTTTGTTGACATGGCTCTCTGGCTGCCAGCACTCGCCCTGTTCCCAGGAGGGTGGGCTCGGGTCGCCGCAACCCTGTTTTCAACATTTCCACGACCCAGATTCCTGAGCTGTCTCCTTAGGCTCCTTCGCCTCCGGAGGCAGCAGACCCCTCGGGCTCCCGGCCACTCTGTCCCCAGCACCCTGTGTCCTCCTGTTCTCACCACGTTCTGGGCTGCCTCGGCACCCGGCTCGTACCCGCAGCTGGCGGTGCCTTGTGGAGCAGCCCCCTCCACCTCTGCCCTTCGTGAACTTCCGTCATCTTCCTCTTCAGTCATGTGTCTGTTGCGTGAGTGCCTGCAATGGAAGGAGAAAAGCGGCCCCCTCCATGCTCCAGACTCCGGCAGCATCTGCCTTCCGCGCCGCTCTGCGGCGAATCCGGCACTGCCCTGCGGCGTTGCCTGTCTCAGCCCTGGTCTTCTGCGTTAACAATAATTACGGAACGCTTACCATGTGCCAGGCACTGTGCCATGCCTTTGACATGCCATATCTCATTTCGTCGCCAGAAATACTCTATGAAGTAGCTTCCATTTGTATCCCCATTTAACAGATGCGGAAGTCAAGGTTTGGAAAGACCAACTATCTTGCCCGTTGCCACACAGCCAGTGAATGGCAGGATCAAGACCAGGCCAAACCTGTCTGTTATCCGGACCCCAAGTCTGAACCAATACCCAGAGTATCTCAAAGTTGGTCCAGGCCACCTGCCGTGGACCAGCCTGGGGTACTCATTAAACATGCAGATTCCTGTACCTCATCCTCAGAGATTCTGATTTACCAGGTTTGGAGTGGTGCCACTAAATCTGATTTTGCAAAAGCCCTCAACCTGATTAGAATGTGCTCTAAAGTGAGAAAACTGTGCCCTGTGTGCCCGCCTCCTGCTTTTTCTTAAAAAAAAAAACTTTTTTTTTTTTTTGGTGAGCTGTATTTTACATAGAAAGAATATATAAAGCCTATGTGTGCAGTTCTGAGAATAATTATAAAGTGAGTACCCATGTGACAGCCACACAAGTTAAGGAGGACACAGTCAGTGCTGTGGAGCTCCCTGGTGACCCCACCCAATCATGGTCCCTTCCCTCTCTTAGAGGTAGCTCCTCGAAGGCAATGGTTTGTACTGATCATCCCTGGAAGTGACTTTGTCACCCGTGCGTTCATCCCTTGACAATACGGGTTTTGCCTATTTGTGAACTTCACACAAATGGACTTGTGTTCTACCAGCCCTAGTCTACCCACTTCTTTCCTTCCAATTCTTTTGTTAGCTTCATCCCTGCTGATGCATGTAGGGGTAGGTGGTCCATTTTTATTGCTACCGCAGCCTCCTTTAGAAAGCCTGTGTCTTATGCTGATTTCTGTGCTTTAGGGTGCCTGGCACAGGGCTGCAGATACAGCAGTTGCTTGGTGTATATCTGTTGGTTAGACGGGGCGGGGGGAACCCCCAAGTGACAGTGCGAGGATGTCCTTGAGAACAAGCAGGAAGAGCTCCGCCAGGACGGTGGCCCCCGCGGGAGTTCTGCCTTCGTCTGCCTCTGCTCAGTCTCTGCCTGTTGCTTTTCTGTCGTGGGCAATCTGAGATGTTTTCGTCTCTCTGTAAAATCCATTCCCATTTCTGTGTCCCTTTTCAGAATGCCGAACTGGGGAGGAGGCAAGAAGTGCGGGGTGTGCCACAAGACGGTCTACTTCGCCGAGGAGGTGCAGTGTGAAGGCAGCAGCTTCCACAAGTCCTGCTTCCTGTGCAGTGAGTACGCCCAGGCCCTGCTGTTGCCATGGCCACCAGGACGGGCCTGCCCCCACAGGCTGGGCCTGTCAACACCCCAGGGAACTGGTCCCCTGGGACGTAAACAGTTTGACATTTGGCTGCAGTGCAGCTGGGGAGGGAACACTTAAGGGCCTCTTTGTTCCATTCAGAAGCTGCTTTCTGAGGGCTGAGCTGGCCGGAGCTGGCGGGGGTGGCAGGCGTTCAGGGGCCGAGAGCCAAGCTGTGAAGACTCGGTTAGGAAAACTTTCCACTCAGCTCTCTCTTCTCTCCCTCTGCCACGATCCCGTCATTTCAGAGGAGACGCTTTTAGCACAAAAGTGTCCCAAAGCTTCACTAGTCTTTGGACCCAAAAGAGGCCTTGGTAAAGGGCAACGGAGGCCACGACCTATGGCGAAGCTGAGTCTGGAGGAAGAGCCGGCTCCTCCTTCCTCGGCCCCTTGTAGACCAGCCGTTCACGTCCCTGCCTTCCCGTCCTGCTCAGACGGCCCGGGACGAGAGGAAGAAAGAGCACAAGTTCTTTGATATCCACTCTTAATAATCCAGAGAAAGATTCGCTCCAGTCGCCAGCCTGGATGAGTAGGAAACCAGGCAAAAGACACCAAGCAATGAGAGAGGTCAGGCTGGCCGAGGGACCCTGCCTCCAGGGTGCCGCACTGACTGGGACCTGGCCAGGCGATGTTTCCAGGA